GGGGGAGGTAAGCCGAGCAGTGTAAAAAGCCATATAAAAATAAATAAAAGTGTAACTGCAAGACCAAGCGAAAGCAAGAGAAAGTTCCTGAATCGTTTGAAACCGTGAACAGAGGTGTGTTTGTTTGCCAATATGTTAGCCAGTATGTGACTATAATATATTTATGTGTAAACTGAGAGATTAAATTAAGCCAGTTAGCCAGTGGGAAAGTATGTACGATTATAAACTGAAATGTTAAGTACGTTAGACGTGTACATATAAACAGAGAGGCTAAGTACGTTAGACAGTATGTAAGTATATAAGATAAGATAAGATAATACGTTATTATCCCAATGGAATTTTTCTTGGCTGTACAGGACCGTAAAAACACATGCAGGTAGGCCTACATCTCTCATTAAATTTCAATACGAAAAGAGAAGTAAATCTGACAAAATATTCATATCACATCAGATGCATCATTCAACCACATGCAGGAATTGAATCAAAAGACCTTTGGAGTTATATAGATACATATTCTAGAGAGCAATACACATTGATGCTTATTCTGACAATAGCCTTATGCTAGATGGTAAAAAAACTTCTTTTTTATCTTTCTTTCTATATTTTAAAGGTACATATCTGCCGCTGCTTGATCTGACAATTTGCGTCGAAAGAGGGTGTGATGGGTCGTTTATAATGCTTTTTATCTTATACTTGTGGTGTTATACATCATAAATTCTAGTAAAATAATTTCACGAGATCTTGCTGGCTTTCTTAATGATTCAGACAAATTTTTCTTTATCTTTCACCCTACAATTCCCAGCCCAGCAGCAAATACAAAAAATAGCAAGCTTTCAATCATAGAATGGTAAAAAAAGGGACATAACCTTATTATGAACACGAAAACTTCTCAATTACCTTTAACAGAACATTCTTTGATTTACTTTTTTTATGCACAAGAGCAGCGTGTGTATATAAACTGAGAGGTATGTTAAGTACGTTGGTCAGTGTGTAAGATAAAAGTGAATGTATAAATGCGAGGTTAAATATATTAGCCAGTGTGTAAGTAAAAAAGTGAATGTATAAATGAGAGGTTAAATATATTAGCCTGTGCGTAAGTATATAAGTGAATATAGAAACGAGACGTTAAGCATGTCAGCCAGTAAGTAATTATATAAGTGAATATAGAAATTGAGAGGTTAAGCAAGGTGCATGCTCGTGTATATCTCTCTCTAGGTACCTTGATAGCGTCATCACACTCCTTGGCGTCATATACCCGGGGTGGGTCCAACAACTTCAGAACGATCTCTTCAAATTTCCCGCTCAGCTCAGACTTGAGGTCATCCCGGAGGTCCTGGGGACGGACAGGTCAAGATCACGGGGTCATGTGAGGTTAGAACACACGGGGGTCACGGGGTCAAACAGAGCACAGCACAGTGCCGGTTGTAGGGTCACTGGACAAGATCAAAGACAGAAACACAGCGGTGACCAGCTCATCTAATGAGGGCCCGCCTCCTAAATCAGGTACGTTGTGTCTCAGTTTTACGGTACTTGCAACACAATAAGGTCATATAAATGCAGAAGATTAGAGTTGTTACAAGAGAGTAACGTACACATAAAAGAAGAAGGAGGGATAGGGACGAGAGGTGCACGATAGGAAAGAAGGAGGAGAGATAAGGACGGGAGGGGGGGGGGGGGGGGGAGAAGTGAGGATTTGGGAACAAACAGGGGGAGAATTGTGAGAGGATTGGGGATAGACAAGGAAAGAATTTGGGATAAACAGGGAGGGGATTGGGGATAAACAAGGAGAGAATTGGGGTACAGGGAGGGAGCTGGGGATGTACGGGGGCATAAGGGAAGTATTAAGTATAGTTTTTACGGCGCTCGCAACTGAATACGGTCATATGAGCGCCAAGGGGTGGATGCCAACAGAGAAGTCCATACAGAGAATCAGGCTTACTCTTCTCACCTCTCTAGCCTCAACAGCACAAAGTCTGCTTCGACTATCAAGGCACCTCGGAAATAGCGGGTCAAAAAAGAGTGACAAACATACAAAAGAAGTAGAGGGAAATGACGATAGTAAGGATGAGGAAGGAAAAAGCAGCACTTCTCTGTTGCAGTTCAGGCCCAGTTATAAGCATGGCATTGATAAATCAGCCCATACAATTCTACTGTGCCTAAGAACATGTTAATATCCCCCCTTTGGGAATGGCCTAAAGACACTTCAGTCAGTAGCACCGTTCCGAAATGGTAAATTATTATGCATAAATAAAGAAATGATGAGATGAGGGAAATATACATATATACTATTATACAGAGAAATGGGGAGATGAGGGAGATATTATACATATACAGAGAAATGGGGAGATACCAGAAAGAACTAACTAGAGATAACAGTTCCATCCCCCCTCCCCAGCCTCTCTCGCGTTTG